GGATGGATGGATGGATGGATGGATGGATGGATGGATGGATGGATGGATGGATGGATGGATGGATGGATGGATGGATGGATGGATGGATAAATCATCACTAGCTGCTTACTGTGCTCTGTGTGATGACATAATCAGTGTTGCTATCATAAAATTGAAGTTGTTTGATCGTTGTAACTGTATTACTGTATCAGTAAAAAATAGAAATTATTGGATCAGAATGCTGGATCAGCAACTCTGATTTCCGATCCAGCTGATTTGACAGCACTGGAGCCGATCTCTAGTTTATAGACAAGAAGAAACTTCAAATAAAGCACTACAGAGCCCAGCATTACAGATTTATTTAATTATGATTTATTTCAGAATTTGTAATCAGGTTTTACTCTTATTAAGAAAATCTCTGCTTGTACTGTAAGAATACCAAAAAAAGATTTGGGTCTCCAACAAGCGCAATGATACATGAGATGTAGATCTAGCATTTGGATGCTGCCCTTGGGTGGTAGCTTGGGTTTGGCATGGAGGTGTCAAAGGTGGAGTAGGGCTGCAGTTACTGTTTACACTAAGACAAGTTTGAGCCACGGATCATTGTCCCCTCCTGTTTGAACCCGCCCTCTTCTTCCATTATTAAGTTCCACTGAAAATGCCTAATGTTAATTCTGGTCATCTACTATTATTTATCAGTTCAAAAAACAACAACCAAAATAGTTTATTTCCAGGGTAATATACTCTAAAGGGTTTTGTAATTAATATTTATATAACAATTCGAGAAAATAATTCAACCAGCTCTTTGTTTTATTTATTGACTGAAAGTGTTTTGCATTTTTTCGTAGACTGATTTTAAAAATGCCCACAGGCCTTTTAGGGGAAGGGAAGTTGATTCAACCCCCTGAATTTTTTTACCTGGCTAAAACAAACCCTGAGGCTATAAATCCTTAAGCTTTCAGTGAAAAAGGAGATCTTTTTCTTCTTGGCATCGTGGTTGTGCTGCTCACTGACAACCTACCTATGTATATAATTGCTCAGGGGTGATACTGTAGCCTAAGAAGCCAGACTGATAGTGTGTAGGACTTAGATTTAGTTATACGAACACACATTATTTTATGGGAGTCCTCCAAGTAAATGGGTTTGGGGTAAGAAGAACCTTTTAAACTGATTGGTTGAAGTGACACCTGGATCCCGCCAACCAATAGTTTGTTTTAGCAAGTCACGTTAACAAAAGAAGTAGCAGCATACACCATGAGGAACCACAGCAACTTACGCGGATGCTCTTTCTGGTCTTCCTTCAAATTTTAATTGTGGCTTCTGACTAAACAGATGTGATAGCTGCATTGCACTGCCATGTTTATTTTGGTTTAGGAGCTGCTGCTGCTTCTAAACCCACACTCACATTTGTTTTATCTGAATGCACAATTGTTTGTTAATTGATGATATGAAGAATGGTTAGAGGGTTAGAAAGTGTGGCCCGTTTTAAACCATAATACTGCAATGTGATTGGGCATCTTTGGTTGGACTCTTACTATTGAAGCTGGGGTGGTACAAGATGGAGACATCTAGAAGATTTGTGAGATCAAAAACACCACATGCTTTGGTTCTGCAAAAGGCAGGTTTCACCTGGGACTGGCCACCTGTCTATCAACCAGACATACTAAAAGATAGATCCCAACCAACTTATCCCAACCTGGAAAGAACCTGTTCATGTACAGGGAGAATGTGTAAACTTCCAGTTTACGAGGAAGCCATGAATAAAGACCAGGACCTTTTTCTACAAGATAAGACTGCTCCAAGCTTTTTCAACATGCAGCCCTTGCAAATATTCTCACTTTTTACAATTATTTCTTCTTGAATATCATAGAGGATGTTTGAAAGGTCAGAGAGGAACAGAGGAGAATATCAGCCTCCAAGTCTTCAAGATAAATAAATTAAAGAATAAAATTAAAGTGATTGTTGAGAAAGGTGTAAACTAATTTTGACATGCATTTTTTTATTGACTAGCTTTTAAAAAGGTCCAAATTAAAACTCCTTTTGGATGGTGTTTATTTAGATGTGTGTCTAATTTTCAAAGTAGAGCAAACTTAATGGATTAAAGACAACGTTTGTTTTATCTGAATGTACAATTGTGTGTTAATTGATGATATTAAGAATGGTTAGAGGGTTAGAAAGTATGGCTCTTCAGCTTCGTGTGGAATTTCTCACATGCAAACCGAAGAAAAAAGGGTGCTGATGGAAGAGCCATTTGCAGCAGCAACTGGATTAGAGGCGTCATGGTGACTAATTTTCCAAGCGCCTGCATCTTTAAAGTATTCAAAAGACAATAAGGAAATGATCAAAGCTCTAAATGCATAAATCCTAAAATCAGTGTTTGCTTATTTAGAGGGATTAGATGAAGGTGGCAATGCATGAAGATGAATAACTTATATCCTGGACCTTGTCTCAAAAAATGCATTTCAACATGTATTACATAGTTTTCTCTGTATTTATTTTTCTCACTTTCTAAATGTCCAGGAGATCAATAAAAAAAGACTATTCCACTGACAGGTAAATTAAGTTTGAATGCTACTGAAGTGTGGTTTCACGTCACCATTTGGATTTGGAGCAATAAGCAAAAGCAGATTTAATTTAGTCCAAAAATTAAAAACTCACTGGAAAGCAATCCCTTACAGATTGTATTTGTGATACATAGAAAGTGTGGAAGAGAGCAGTTGTATTATGTTCTTTAGAGACGATTGTTGTGGGATTGTGTATCTTAAACATTGTGGTAGGTTTTTGAACTGTGCATGAGGGCAAAGCCTGGCACCTCTTAGTCTAGCTTAAGGAGGATCCTAAACACCTAAACATTGTTTGGCTTTCCTGAATACCTTCTAATTATCAAAAGGGCAGAGAGAAGAGATGTTTTAATCTTTAGAAAATAGCAGGGGGTCACGTCGAAAATTGAGGTTTTGATAAGTGTGAGTGCACTTACTGCAACACAGCACAAATATTAATCATACAGATGTTAAGTTATTTTTTGCAAAAGGTATGAGATGTCAATTAAGGACCTGAGTGAGAAGTTAGATGATATATAATATAGGACATGTTGAATTAACGACGCATAGTAAATTCGATGCGTTTGTATAACATTGCCGCCATCTGCTGGTTAAGACATGGTATTGCTTTTGTAAGCGCACATCTAAAAATATCCAAAATACTACTGGTGAAGGGCAGGGTCACATTTAAAACAAATCGGTATCAACTGCTGATTGTTTGACTTCCCAAATTCAGTGATCTTAGTTTCAAGTCCCGGACCACAAAGTCTATGAAGCTCCTTAAATGGCTCCCGTTTGTTTGTCTCTTTTTTTCCTTTGGAAAAGTAGTAAGTTAAAGTTGATAGAGAACAGCATAAAAATAAAATAAATAAATAATAACAATAATAATAATAAAAAATTAAATGATAGTTGACAAGGAAAAAGATGGACATTGAGAATCATATTTATAACACCGTCCTGATCTAAGCCATAACCCTTTAATTTTATTTTTGTATAACGCTCGTTGAGTTTAACTGGAAAATGCCCAGTTTCAATAGACCATTGATTTGACAAAAACAATAGGTTTCCCTGTCACATAACGTGTACCATGTATGTATTAGTCAGTTAAAACAAATGTATTTTTACGCAAAAAGAAAAAAAAAAGTTGCTATGTGTACGTTCATATCCAGAGTATAATAAAGGAAATCTAAAAATACAAAAATAGGAGATTTTTATTTATTTTAAAGGCACGGATAGGCTCTATGCACAGCTCCACTACTTCCTGAATTTAAGGCAGCTCCTTTGTTTCCTGTCTTTCATGATTGGATGCACTGATTAATCCAGGTGTGTATGACCTAAGTAACTGGCCAGACACACCTGGATTAATCAGTTCGTCCAGTAATGAAAGACAGGAAACAAAGGAGCTGCCTTAAATTCAGGAAGTAGTGGAGCTGTGCATAGAGCCCATTGAGCCTAAATGAAAGTGTGAAAAAATGCTCCTACAAGTATCCTAATCTCAGGGTTATTACTTTTTGCAGAGAAATCTACATAAAATAAAGAAATATCTTTTAAAAATATATGCACCATTTTTAAAAAATTAAGCACTATATTGCATAAAATTTATGTAACATATTTTGTTTGTTTTATACGTTCTCCTTAGAGCTTTACGACTGCTCCACGACAGTACCAAACCGCTTTACGATTGTTTTGGAAGCTCTTTCAAAATGGAGTAGCCCGTTAGCATCATCTTAAGCCAAGTATATTTTGGCCTGTTTTTCTCTTCGAATAGTTCAACAGGATATTCTTCGTTTAACATTTATAAAATTACAAAAATGACAGATGAGAAGAAATCGGGCTCTTTGGGCTTCTTCTCGAGTTATGACGATTTAAGCGACAGCAGCAGCGACTCGGACGAGGAACGAGATGGTCGAAAGAAGAAAGCGGGGAACGAGGCTCAGGACAGCGGGTCCGAACAAGCAGCGAAGCGGACAGCCGGTGGAGCTGCTTTACCGAAGCCTGATGAGCTTTTCCGCTCCGTGTCTAAACCCACTTTCTTATACAACCCACTGAACAAGGAGATAGACTGGGACAGTCTGACTGTCAAACCCCCTGAGGAGGTGAAGACTTATTGCATTAGAAATACAAGTCTGCTGTAAGCCTCTTTGATAAAAGCAAGAATAAACTGCACTGTTTGTTACAAGTTGTTTAAAAAATATATATTGTTTAATTTTAATTGTTTTGTAAAGAATACATTTAGATTGTGGCGTCAAAGCTGGAAGAAGCTCTGGTCAGATGAGGCCAAAATCACTTCCAGGAAAACTAGGGACTCTATTTCTCAGCATTTTTGGGGGCGTTTTATTTATTGACATGATTGGAAAATGAAGGAAACTGGAGCAGAAGACCGCCAAAATAAAGTGATACCATTAAACATGTGAAATGAGAGCCTTTAGTTATTTATTGAAACAATAAGAACATGCATCAAGATGTAGAAAAATGCTGTTCACAGAGCCTCTACACCAAAATTCACCAAGGAGCTATTTCCCTCACATCTTTTCTATTTTTTCCCCTACTTTCTGGCGAGTTTGTTGAAAATATTTATCTGATTATTTTTTCTCTATGCTTGGTCATTCATGCTAGATATTTTTTTTTCTTTCGAGAAAAACATAATATGAGGATAAAGTCACACAATTGAGAGAATTTAGTCGTAATGAACATTTGAGATATTATGAGTTAATTCTCATAATATTACGACTTTATTCTTGAAAACAAAAATAAAAAAAAATCTCTACCCTCGTCCTAATACTTCGTTTATTTTATTGTACAGAGGCATCCAATAACATAGAGGTATCAATTCATCTGTAGCTAATATTTCCACCTTGTATGCTTTCCTTTTTTTAATTTTAGCCTGCAAAAGAATTCAAACCGTGGAAGACAAATGCAGTCCCGCCTCCTGAGAGCTATGTTGCAGAACCTGAGAGGAAGAAGGGGCCTCCCCCAGGAATGGACATGGCAATAAAGTGGTCCAATGTTTACGAAGACAATGGCGAAGACGCCCCCAATGCTTATTCAGGCAAAGCCCGTTTCTTGCCTGCAGAGGAGCAGCCGTCTGACTCAGGTGAGTCCTGCAAGATAACCGTTGTTTCTGCTTTTTACTAACTGAAAGATTTTATTGCAACATCATTGTTTCTTGGTTGTACATGCTCTGAGATCAAACATAATTGTAATAATAAACAGCATTAGAAGATTTATTTTCCCTAATCTCTTCTACCACTCTGCCCTAAAAGACGAAGAGTCTCAAACGCCCTCGATATCAGCCAAGAAACGGCGAGTGGAGACGTTTCAGCAGAAGGAGAAGAGGAAGAGGGATTTGGGACAAGCCACCTCAGACAAGAACTTTGTTGAAGAGGAGAAAAGGATTCTCAGGCAAAAGGCAGAATGAAACACAATCAGATTAAGATTTAAGCTTTATCACCACAGGACATTGACACATGTCTTCATTTAGGACAAGAAGCAGTGTTCTTCAAAAACGTTGGCTCATTTGTATTTATCTGCTGTGAAGTGTCGTTTTCTAATAGAGTTGTCTTAGTTTTGTTTTCTGTTGTGTAATTTGGTTTTCTATTACTGAGGAGTATGTATGAAATTTTAAAATATCCAGAACAAACCCTACATTTTTGTTGAAGTTTAAATATTTTGAAATTTGTCATTGATTTACAAGAATATCCAGGCCTCTGAAAAACTTTTGGGTTAGTTAAATATGACAAATGATTCAAGACAGATGACATTTCTCAATTGGTAAATACGGTTAAAGAATAATCCCAAAAGTCTCAATTGTTTGGGTTTAAATTATATTTAAGTTGCTAACTGGTTGAACACAAAACCTGTTTTGTTTTTTAAGTCCTTATATGTAAATGAACTGTAATCTTTGACTGTATTGGCTTTATTCGTATCTAGCATTTCTATTTTTTTATATGTTCATATGACTTATTCATTGTGACTTTCCTTCAAACAAATGTTTGAAATGGAAAAATATTATTAAACCCCGGTTTCAAAACCTGATTGTGCTTTCTACATTTGGTCACTTAGGGGTCGTACTTGAGCAGCATTTATATCGTATCCTGTGTTTATGATGAGGTTGGCTCCCAAAATACAGTTGGAAAGATAAAAAAAAAAAAAAAAAAAAAAAACTTGGCTTCAGTTTTTTGATGCCAACAATTAGTTTTTGTGCGTGTGAAGCTATATAGGTGTAAAAAACTCTTGTATTTTTTTTCAATTTAGTTTTGTTTTCTATGTCATCTTGAAGAATCTTTACAGAGACAATTCAACCAGATCATACAGTCAGATTGGTCCAAAGAGTTCTATCTAAGAAAAACCAGATAATTGTGTAGTAGAAGTGGTACCCAGGTCAGCACCTTTAACATTCTCCAGAAAACAACTGGTGTTCGATCCCCTTGTTAGCCCAATGTAAGAATATATGAAGTTAATTGACTGGGTTGAATACCATGCCTGATCAATTATTCACATCCATTGTGACATCAGAACTACAAACTTATTTTTGTAGGATTTTATGGAGTAAACTATTATGATTATAATACAAAGCAAAATGGTAGAACATTTAGTTTCATTAAACATATTTTTTGAAACAAATCTGAAAATAGTGGTGGTCATTTCTAGTCAGCCCCTAATTCTTTAATATCGCTTCATAAAGTCCAGTGTAGCTGAGTGCCTTCAATACGCCAAGGTTTGTTAGAGACCAGTGCTGAACAGACAGCGTCATGAACACTAAGAGTCAGACATGAAACAGTGCAGAGGTTTGAAGGACAAATTTCACAGGTAAATATATATATATATATATATATATATATATATATATATATATATATATATAAAACTCTTCCTCACCCATTGCGGGCGGTCTCCCTTTTATCCTCCAAGCTCGGGTCCTCTACCAGAGGCCTTGAGCTTGAGGGTTCTGCACAGTATTTTTGTTGTTCGTAGAACTGCACTTTCTTGGACCAAGATGTCTGATGTATTTCCAGGGATTTGCTGTACTACTCCTAAGGTTTGGGGTTAACTGCCACGAGTGCCCCAATGACCACGGGCACCACTGATGCCTTGACCTTCCAGGTTTTCTCCAGTTTTTCATGTTCCTTTTTCCTGATGTTGCATTCACTTGGTATTGCTATGTCAACCACAACAGCTTTCCTCTGCTTTTTGTCCACCCCCACAATGTCCGGTTGGTTTGTTATTACCATTCAGTCGGTCTATCTGGAAGTTCCGCAGGATCTTGGCTCGGTCATTCTTGAAAATCTTTTGAGGTGTTTCCCACTTTGACCTGGGGTCCTGTTTCCCTGTCGCCATAACAGTTGTGTTTTGTACCTGGTCAATCTCAAGTTGTGAGAGCAGCTGGCGTTTATGGATGTTGGAATATTGAGCTACTAGTTGTTTTGCTCTGAGTGTGGACCGTGGGTATCAAAGTGACCATTTCTCCACCATCCTTCGCATGTACCCCCTCTGACAAGGGTTACTGGAGTAGTAGCATTCTAACAGAGCCCTGTTCTCGCATCTTGCTAATTTCCTTCTTGTTCCAGTAGCCTGTTTTTCACCAAGGTACTCTGGTTCCCCAGCACCTGATGCAGATCTTGTCTGGCCGGGCATGTCATTAATTCCTCTACCTCATCATTGTATGAGGCAGGCATTAGCATGAAGGGTCTTGGCAGCTTTGTTTTTTCCCCCCCAACAGGGATTTGAAGGGTAGCTTTTTAAGTCAGAATTTGAGCCAGTGTCTGGGTTTTAAAGATGTAACAAGTTTTGAATGTTCATGGGAAACTGAATGTTTTACATTCACTCAATCATTGTTCTCCACAAGCTTATGATTTTTTAGAAATCCCTGGTATAATTTGCAACAAAAAGTCAATTTAAATTGAAGATTGGTGAGTAAGGGAGTAGTTTCTGTTAATGATTTATTAGACATTAATGGTAATTTTATAACGTTTAACTAACCCAAATAAACATGACCTTAGATTTCCTGAATCACAATATAATAATATATGGAAAGCTATACCTCAGCCCTTAAATGCAACACATTAAGATCACTCTATTTAAAGTTCATCACATTTCTTAAGCTTCCATAATTTCTTCTGCTCCCCAGTGGATGACTTGTTCACTACTTTTTCTGGTAATTTTTTTAAGAAGAAGTTGCTTGTGAACAGAATACTTTCAAACATGCAAATTAGTTTGAAGCAGACCTGTTTTGGGATAAAGATCAGGTGCTGTTGAAGACATTGATCTTTTAATGCAGACTGCTTATTATTGAGTGTGCTCAGTTGTACCAATAAGAATAATATTTAGTGCAGCTATTTATTGTGGTCTGGATTTTAAAGGGGGGTCATTTTATTTTCTGTACTGTAAATGAATAATATTAGGTACTTGCAGCAAAGTTTTCACCCTTTATTCACTGACTTTTTTTTTTAACTAATGCTGTTCTACTTTCTACAACAAGGTTAAAACAAGTTGCTGAATAGAAGCAACCTTTGTTAGTACGGTATATGGAGACTGATTAATCTGACTTCTGAATATTCTTTATAATTCCCTGGAACTATTGATGCAAACAACATTGAGCATTCTTGGTAATAATCTTTATTGACATCAGGCTTTAGCAGCAGGTTTTGGTCAGTGCGTTGGGAGATATGCATGTCTTAAACGTGTTTTACAATATCATCCGTACCAAAGAAAAGCTTTATAAATATGAGAGATGTGAAATGCATTTTCTTTTACATGGGATGTTCCAAAAGGGAAATGAAAACATTTTGCATCAAACTATAAAAAAAATATTTTATTAAAAAATTAATAATAATTGCCATCATTTGTACTTAATCAGTCTTCAGGATTCTTACCAGTAGGCCATCAATTAAATGCAATTTATTTACTTTCTTTTTTGTGAAGCTTGGACGGCAAGACCCAAGAGGTACAACAGTAAGTGTGTCATATCATATCGTATCATACATATTTCATATCAAGGAAAACCAGCTGATCGTATTGAGGCATTGACTTGCAGGACACGCTTCTCCTGGACCAGAATGTGGTGACAGCTGATATTAACATGCATTGTATGATTGATTTTTCAGCACAAGCTTGCATGCAGGGATGGATAAATACCTTTTAATAGGAAGACACCCACAGCAGAACCAGGCTTAGTGTGAGTGTCCATTTGCTGAGGCTGACTGAGTTTTCCAGAAGCACTGATTTATTAATACTTCCTGGATTAGAAAAGGTAACGGTGAACTAGCTCCATGGGTAGCTCTGTCTATGAAAGAAACAGTTAAGCATCTCTGAGACAGTTTTTATGTCACTATTTTCCTCAAATGTCTCTTATGGAGATTGAATTCCTGATTTGATTGGCTCTTTGCTCTAAAAAACTGAGCGTACCAACTGAACGGACCAGCTATAGTGTTTCTTAAATTTCTGTAATTTTAAGAAAACCTTTTTGTATTTCCTGTATAAAATTGTGAGTTTATTGAAATTTTCCACTTTGTTTTTGTTCATGTTTTGCTTTTTCATCTTTGACCCTTTTGAACCCTGCAAGCAAAAAAAAACATTAATAAAAGGTTTTAATAAAAAAACTTTAAAGAAGTTCATATGTAAAATATGGCGTCTGAAGGAGACGACAGAGAATTGTCATAGAGGTGGCTAGGCAGGGTAAGCTGAAAACTGCCAAAAACAAGTTTAGGGTCAGTCTTCACTAATCAAACTGTACCAACTAGAAATTAAACAAGCAAAACATCTATATTTTCTAAATATAAATATTTTTATTGAGATATTGCTTATAAAGCTATGCACATTTTATACATCTATGCTGTCTAAATCAGTAATGAATCTGCATAATATTCACATTGAATGGGTTGAGCAGTGGTTCTTTATCTGTAGATACTCAGAACTTTCTCTTCTCCACCATAAAGCTGAAAACCTAGTTCTAAAAAGAGCATGAGTTTTATTATTATTATCTAATGTTAGTATATAGATGTAGTTAATTAATCAATTACCTTATTTTTTTTTTTTTTACAGTGTGTGGTTTATATAAGAACAACAGAAAAATCAAGTTAGGACATTTCACCTGAGTGTATCACTGCTGCCACCCTATGTTTTACAGGGGAACTGCTTGTTCTGCTCTACAGTATATCAAAATAGGTAAAGTTTTCCAAAGGCCAACCGTGCCCCCTTCTAGCTCCACCTCTGACAAGCATCAACTATTACCCACCCTCAGACCCTCCACCTGGATTAGATTTCTCTCAGTAAAATTCAAATAGGCTCTTTCAGGATCACAGGACAAAGAGCTGACAATGTCTCCTTCTCATGCCTGAGAGCCAATAGGCTCCCATCTTCACTCAGATCTTCAACGAGTCTTATGAGCTCCCTGAGCGTCTGTTATGCTTCAAAAGTTCCCCATTCATCTCTTTCACACCATCTTGCGATTAAATGACATCTATGGTAATAAAATCATTGAAGGAATTTTTGTTTAAGCATCTGTAGTTCATCTCAGGCCCCCTGCTGGATTCCCTCCCGTTTGCCTACCAAGCAGACAGAAGTCAACCTGGGACTACACTTCCTCCTATAACTTTGAACAGTCATGGAAGCAGCCAAGATCTTGTTTGTGGACTTCAGCTTTGCCTTCAACACCATCAATCCAGACACTGCCCAATAATAGATCACCCAGCTCACAGATTCTGTGGATCACCAGCTTCCTAACTAATTGGCAGCTGAGGGGCATCTCAGGTTGTATTCTCTTCCCATTCCACCTCTTTCCACAAAATGACTGGACTTCTGCGGTGGGAAGGAGGCTGACATGAGACTGTATTTTTTGCAACAACCTAAGAAGCTAACCTTCTATAGGAATTCTTATTCAGACTTTTCTTTTTATTGCCCTTTGTGGAAATAAAACTGAAGAGGTCCAAAGTCCAACAAACAATCAGATCTGTGGAGAGCATAATAGGGGATGATCTTCTCCCCAGTCTGGTAGAGGTCATGTCTGCACAACAGAGTAACATTAACAAAGACATATCCAGCACAGAGACAGTTTTTCCTCCAGAAAGTCTCTCTCCAACAAAACTTAGAATTCAGAATGTCCACGTTAACATCACTCACATTTGTACATTTGTAAATATTTATATATTTAAAAAACATATATTTTTATAATTTCTTTTGCATATTTATACTTCATCTGTCTTCATTAATGTAAATAAAGCAGATTCTGATAACTGTGTCTCTAGTCACAGTATCGAATTTTTATAGAGAGTCGTTCTGCTTCCTTACAGCTGCTTGTAACTAAAATCCACTGATTCTGCAGAGCCTCAAGTCTGGCCGAGGATCTCAGCGTTAGATGGTGTGAAGCTGACAGAAGCAGGCAGCTGAGTGATGATGTGTGCATTGCACATCAGCTGAATAAACACGCGGTTCTGCTTCATGATCTCAGGACAGAGCAGATCACTTTGAGGAGAAGGCGGGCAAATAGTGGTTGGGCTGTCGCATCTCCTGGATAGACTGAGCAAACGTCGGAACAGGGATCTCCTGAGGAGGATGTAGATCCAGGGGTCCAGGATGGGGTTCAACGAGGCGATCCGGATGGCTGTCAGATCTGCCTTTTGGTCATTCTGGAAGCGGTTGGCAAAAATGCGCACCTGAAAAAGCAGACGTAGACTTAGACAACTTTTTATTGTTATTTTGTATACACAGGGTGTATACACAGGGTGTATACAAAACGAAATTTTGTTTTGTACCGCTTTCATAACATTTTTATTTTATCAAGTGCAGCAGTGATTAAATGGCAACAAGTATGTGTAAATAATAATGCCTAAAAAGAGTTTGAAACAATAGCATTGTCCTTTATCCTACATAACATAATTTTTAAAGCATATACAATTTTAAAGGTTTAACAAGTTAATCTATTCGTGTGACCAGCCTCAAAAAGACATTTCTTAAGGCAGTAGTGATTAAAACCCAAATTATCACATGAATTTAGTCATTTAGCGAGAACCAGAGGAAAATTTGCTTCTACACATTTTGCTTCTAAGGAGCTAAATTTGAAGAAATAAGACTCAAAAGAAATTCTAATGATGCTATGCGCTGGAACAGAAATGGTTACTGATAGGTCCTTTGGATCTATTTCATTTATTTTCTTTAAAATGATGTTTTACTAATTATTTGAAAACAATAAGTTGAAAGCTTCAGTGTTCGTGAGATAGGATCCCAGTTTTCATCTGCTAAATGTTTTTTTTTTTTCAAAACAAATAAAAAATACTATAATAATTTTTACAGCTGAATTTATCAGTTTTTCTTAAGTTCTAATTCAGATTTTATAGAAAATTGTAATTTTAACTTAAATTAAGTTAAAAATATTTAAAATTCCTAAATTATGAATGTATATTGACCTTACAAAAATAGATTTTTTTATTAAACCTAATAGAATAGAAATTTCACTTCATGCAGCTCTCTTAATATATTTTATTCCCTCGCCCTGTTTTTTATTTCATGCTTTTCTGTGCCCCCATTAAAACACTCTTGCCCCCTGGTACATTTGGTCTAGAACCGCCACTGTTTCCATTAAGTTCAAAATTTCAGAATTAGCATTGAGGTTCAAACTTTATAGAGTGGTTTTACGTAGGATGGGTGAATGCAAAAACACGCCACACCTTTCAGAATTTATGAGCCAAAATGTCTGTTTTAATAATTCCTCACCACCAAGGGAGCCGAACAGGCCAGGACCACCGCGGAGGTCATCACCAGCACTGCGATCATCTGCGTCTCCGCCGCCGTGGACAGCGCCCTCCACCTCTGCCTGACGCTGGCTCTGCTGAAGTTCCGCTGCACGGTTCTGCGGCGCATCAGCAGCAGCGCTCCGCACACCGCCAGATTGAGCGCGATGGTCCCGAGGATGAGCAGCAGGCTCACGGCCCCGTACAGAACCGCATAGGCTGCAGCTACAGGCTCGGGGGTCTTCCAGTCAATAAAGCACCAGGTTTCGGGCGGCTGCAGCTTGCTCCTCGATATGCCCATCATGGGGAGGCAGCAGAATAAAATGTGACTGATGTAAATGAAGAGAAGGAACTTTTGCGCAAAGCGGCTGTCCACCCCCCACCGCTGGTATCTGTAGGGACAACAGATGGCCAGATACCGTTCTGCTGCCATGGTGCAAATGATGCTCAGTCCGGTCAAACCAAAAAACAGCAACAGAAAGGAGTCAAACTCGCAGACGCGGTGGTCGTGCAGCACATGGTGGTCCATGTAGTTGGCTATTGTGAGCGGGCTGGCCAAACAGGTCCCTAGAAGGTCCGTCACAGCCAGACCGCGCACCAACGAGAAGAAGGCGGAGGTCTTTTTCTGCTGTCGGGACACAGAAAGGACAAGTATCGCGATCAGATTCCCAATGGCCCCGCCAGCAAACATAAAGATTGGCAGAATGATTTCACTTGAGTTGTCCGGATCCTGGCTCAGCGACTCGTTGATAGGCACAGACCCGTGCGTAAAGTTCGACATCTCCACTGCCAAATAAGTCCGCCTCAAGCTGGCGTCTGTTATTTGCATTGGTCTGCTGGGGATCTGGGAGCGCATTTCCTCTTTATTGCAAAGGATGATAAGGAATCAGCAGGGGGATGTAGTGAGGCAAACCGAACCCCTCTGCTTTCCAGTAATCCACATGTTCTTTACTAATATTGGGGCGCACCGCTGTGGGCAGGGAGGGGAGGAGGTCCCTGATCTAGGGCGCAGATCCAACCAATGATGGATAGTATGGAGGTAGAAAAAAAGAGTGTCCTCAATCTTTCCCCTTAAACTTTCTGCCTGTGCTGGCGTCATCATGGACGTGTGGTATTTGCCGCAGTCACAGTGGGTCAAGTTTTCTGACTGATGAGTGAAGTACAGTAGAGAAGCAAGGGGCTTCATGGGACTTACTGACAGCAGAGAAAAACAACAACATTAACAGGGTTTATAAATACTTATTGTAACAACAATAAAAAAACACACTTGTTATATAATCATACACACATGTCGGCAATAGCAATATATTTCAAAGTATGCAGCCCCAAAGAAATCAGATTACCGTAATAAAACATTATGTACCCCTGCTATTACACCCCTTTCCTCAATACATTCCAAATTGTTCTAAACTTAGAGCAGCTGCAGGAACTGTTAAAACCAAGCAACAACCTTTAATACCTGTGCAAAGTGTTAAACTACTAGGTTAGACGTGATTTAGTGATCACATTTAGCATCTTATAGTGATTCAGAGATAGCTCTAGTTTAAACCAAAACAGTTTAAACTCGTGGAAAAACATCCGCTCCTTGAGCTTAGACAAACAAAATAGTCTCATTTTAGTGCATTTGGCTAAGTTTTAGTAATTTCTAGGTTGTTTTTTTTTTTATCTCCAAAGTTGTGCTTAAATGTTACGTATGCTTTATACGTGTGGCCCAAGTTCTTTTTAAAGAATAACTCATTCTACAAGTTTAATCTGTTTTAAACTTTCTCCTCGATGCTGCAGACTAACCAGCATTTTTTCCTTGTCGAGGCTGATAAGTCTCCCATGAAAAAAGCTGTGCTCCAAAAATTTGGTGCATAACTTTGTGTTGAAAAAAAAAAAAAAAAAAGCGACTGCCTCTGGACAGTTGTCAGGTACTACAGGGAACAGTGGGTACAGTGGGAACATAGGGGACGTCAGTGATTCTACTGCCATTACACATTCATTACAGCCTGACTTGTGTTTACATTGAGGAGCACCAAAAAGGGCTCTCTGTCTGCAGTCAATCTTAAAAGACCAAAACAACACCTCTCAGAGAGATGTGTTGCTGCTCTTCCTGTCAGCTGTGCAGCAAAAGAAGCTGGCAGACTGTAAACAGCAGAGTGAGACCAGGGCTGGGAAGCTCCAACCTGACTGGAATATTCTTCATTTCAAGGTGAATCATGGGACGTACAAACCCCCTCGTGTTAGTTTATAGTGTTATTTGATAGTTAAAGGTACAGTGTTCTCCTGCAGTGTTTAACTATGTCAAGCTATAATGGTGTGCTCCTGTATGACTTATAAGGCTCAAATAACATCCTACATTTATCCCTAAAAGGTCATTATCGAAATATGTTCCTGGTTGTTAACGTATCTGTACCCTGGTCTGAACAATCCAGCAGTATTCCCAAAACAAGTACAGGAACACATCTTAACGGTCAGAGAGAAAGTTTAAAGCAGGGTGATGCCAAGCTTTGAACATCTCAAAGAGCTCTGCTCAATGCTCTTATTCTGAGACTATGGTTGTTGAGTGGAAATAAAAAAGGTGGACTGCTCTCTGTCTCATTGTAAAAACATTATAAGGCGCCAAAGCACGCCCGGAGGGGATTGTTTGTGTATAAGAACATGTGTGTGCACCAACTTTTGACAAGAAGGTCTAATTGACATTGGAGTTTTATCACTGTACTCTGCCTGATGTGGCCAGTGGATAGAGTGGTCACATGAGGTACCAGTGAAAGTAGTGAAATGAAATGTTGAAAAAAGTGTTTTGTTTAGGGCACATTACCAGAATCTTATGGGAGCGCATTTCAGAGCTGGCCTTGGAACATCTAGGGATCCCCCAGAATGAGATGAGGGGTGTCGCTGAGTCTGACTTCTGTTATGAACCTGTTGTCCCCCGCAACCCAATCTTGGATGTACGGATAACGGTTAAAGGATAATTGAATCCTCAGCCCCTCATTTGAAAATGAATAAAAAGTAAAACTGTAAGGATTGCATCCATGGCCTATGTTAACTCTGGAGGAGCCACATAAATCCACAACTCAGGTGGTAAAATGTGTTGCCAAGACAACTACATGTCAGATATGCTTATTCTGAAACAAAGCCAAATTGAGTCAAATTTTTGGTTTGACACAAGCCATGTAGGGCAGCGGTCCCCAACCACCGGGCCGCGGACCGGTACCGGTCCGTGGGTCATTTGGTACCGTGCCGCACAGAAAAAAACAAAACAAAAAACAAATATATATATATTAGGGCTGGGCGATAATTCAATAACGATATATATCAATCGATAGACGTGTGGCTTAATAGAAAAAAAGAGAGTC